CCTGATTGGAGTGGGATCCAGAGAGAATAAAATGAGAGAAGTTGATGAGAGTATGTACAGTAAAGTCTTTTATGGGTTTTTCCTAAAAGGGAAGGAGAGAAATAAGGTGGAAGGCTGAGAAGCTAATAGGTTGAAATAGAGTAATTTTTTAAAATAGAAAAGTAGTATATTTGATAGTAATGGGAATGATTCATTAGAGAAGAAAATTGGTCATGCAGGGAATGGGGAAGAATTGTTGAGGCAATATACTTAACTAAGCAAAAAGGGATGGAATCTGCTGCATAAGTGGAGAGAGTCTGGCTAGGAACAGGGATGAGTAGAAGGAAAGTACAGCATACAAACATAGGTGCAAAAAAATAAGTTTCTTCTTATCCTTCAATTTCTCAGTGAAGTATGGCGTAAAGTCATCAAAACCAGTGAGGATAAGGGAGGAGTACTGGGGAGGGCACAGAGAGGAGAAAATGAAATGGCAATCTGGGAGTGTGAGAAAGAGAAAAAATCGTATTTGATCATAGTAAGTGACTTTTCATACACTCCTGAAGCTGATTTGCTACTTTCCATTTACAATTTCATCATCTATAGAAATTGGTCTATGATTATCTTTTTGAGTGTCTGTGCATCAGATTCTGCTGTCAATGAGTGAAAACAGTGACAATAACAACAATAACTACCACTGCTGAGCACTTATCATATGTGAGGCACTGGGTAAATCATCTCTTCTCATTATCTTGTTTAACCCTCTTACCAACAAGGAAATGCTTTATTTTGCTCATTTTATGATAACTCCAGGAAACTGAAACTGGCAGTGAGGGCAACATAAAGTGGCAAGACCAAAGTTGTACAGCTACAAAACAGAGTTGGGATTCAATCCAAGCTCTGTGACTTCAAAACCTGGTTTTAACCAGAAATTCATGTTTGATAAACTTCATCTTAGTCTAAGTATAGGATAGATGATATAAAAACAGGAATTATCTGATTTTGAAAAATCTCAAAAACTTCACTAGGAAAAATCATCAGTTACAAAAATGCACTATCTAAAGGGGGGAAAAAACATAATGGCTTGTTACTGAAATAAGTATTTTATTCCCATTCACATGTGGCCATTTCTATTTACACTATCACACCTCCAATTTAATAAATATTCTTAAGAAAGTATGTGAAGAAAACAGTATGGCGATTGCTTATAAAGCTGGAATTGGAAATAGCATTTGACCCAGCAATCCTATTACTAGGTATATAGCCTAGAGAGGTGAGAGCCAGGATGGGAACAGGTGTGTGCACATCCATGTTCATTGCAGCACTATTTACAGTAGCAAAAAGATGAAAACAACCTATGTGCCCATGAACAGAAGAATGGATAACCAAACTGTGGTGCATACACATAATGGAATACTATGCAACACTAAAGAATAATGTAGATCTGCATAACATGGATGAACTTTGAGGACATTATGCTGAATGAAATAAGTCAATCACAGAAGGACAAATATAGTATTCGTTCATTACTATAAAAAGTCAAGGAAAGGTTTATATATGGAAGGAAACTATCTTTGTTGGTTACCAGGGGTGGGAGGAGAGAGGAGGGAACACTGCAAAAAACAAACAAACAAACAAACAAAAAAATTGCATTGACCCATGTCACTTTAGTTTTTTGTGTATTTTACTGTACATAAATTATATTTCAATAAAATGTATTAAAAAAAAGAATGTATGTGAATCATTACTCTTTCAACTTCACCTATAACCATGTTCTACCTGTCTTCTGTCAGTTCTGCTTTCAAACAAAGTACTGAGGAACTGTCCTCTATTTCCACAGTCACCTCCCTTGGCTGCCATCTTACTCTGGATGATTGTAACACCCCTCAGTATTGCTTTCACGCTTATACATTCTGCACACAGCAGCCAGAGAAATCTTTTTTCAAATGATCTGAGTAGTTACTGTTTTACAACAAAATGCTACTCAAGATAAGGCACGATTGCCAAATACTCAGCTGTACAAAATAGTGCATAGTGCTTAAGTACAATGGAAAACAAACTTAAAAAAAAAAAAAAGCTTAAACACAATGTAGAGACTTACAAAAAGGCATTAAGCTAGGTGGTCTCTAATTTCCTTAGGCTGCTCTTTCTCCTCTATAGGTTCCCAAAGGAATGAGATTATTTTCCTGAAGCCTCCCCACAACACACAAACTAAAATTTAATATATGGATTAATCAGTTTCATTGGTTCCATAATGGATCACAATAAGCCTCATTTCTAGATCTTTCTCTTGTTGTTGTTGTTATGTGCCGTCGAGTCAGCCCTGACTCATAGCGACCCCTCCTTGGGTTTCCGAGGCAGTATCACTACGGAAGTAGGATTGCCCAACCTTCCTTCCGAGGAGTGGCTGGTGGGTTTGAACCGCCAGCCTTCTGGTTAGCAGTCAAGTGCCTTAGCCACTATGCCTAGCAGAGGAGAATAAGGAAAGCACATCATTAGCTTCTTAACTTACTTGCTCTTACATACCTTTTTTCTCTAGACTCTAGCACAGTGAATGACTTATATATTAAATGCTCAATAAATATCTGTTGGATATTATTAAACATTTAGTATTTTATAGGAATATTCTAAAAATTTCTAAGGAATAAACTAAGTGCTTCAAAAGAATGTTACCATATTTAAATTATTCTATCATAGGGTTTTCTTAAAATGTGACTTTTGAGTTTCCTGATGTACAGGTTTTCTTTTTCATTCTTGCCAGCTGATTTGCAATACTTTTTACTCATCACATATCTTCCTTTTCATCTAAAATGTACACATTTATCAAAGTTTACCTTGAAGCATGACCAAAGATTGTCGAAGTCGGCTGTTTTCTTTCCGGATATTTGTTAGTTTTTGTTTCAGGCTTTTTATTTTGGTGCACAATTCCTCCTTTGATAATTCTGCTAAAGGCTCTTCATCTTCACTAGAGCTCTCACCTGGCAGAAAGGCATTTCCCGAAAATGGGTCCCTCTAAAAAAAACAAGGCAAGCAGAACAAAAGAAGCTGCAGAGAGTATTGTTACTGGTTTATCCCAGGTTCTGTATACTGAAGGGACTTAATAAAATTGACAAATGTCTGCTCTGCCAGGTACTACCTGTGCCCAGAGAGAAACCAGGCCCTAATTGATAATTCAGACCAGTTTTTTCTCCCATCATCCAAAAGACTTCTGAATAAGGGAAGAACATCAAAGGTTCATGCTTTTGTGCCTCACGTTCTGCCTAACTTTTAAGTGAGAAATATAAAGTAGAACAATAGTATAACAGAGTAGAATTAACAAGATCACCATTCAAATCTGGGCTCTTTCTCTGATATGCAGTCTGATGTTGAGCAGGATGCTTCACTATCTGAACCTTACTGCTTTCATCTGCAAATACACACACACAGAGTATTTAATCAAATAGGAGAGCTTAGCAAGAGGGCAGGACATAAACCAATATATAAAATGTAGTTGTTTCTATATGCCAGGAACTAACAATTAGTAGTAATAACATAGTATTCATTTATTAAGTCAGGACAGTGGTGACCTGTATGAAGCAATGTGGGGGTGGAGCCTTGAAGGGGGAATGAAGGGAGCTTTTGGGGTGCTGATGATGTTCTATTTCTTGACCTGGTTGTGCTCAGTTTCTGATAATTCATTAAGGTGTATGCTTCTGAGATGTATATTATATTTTAATAAAACATTTATAAAAAAGATACTGAGAAAGTGAATTTTTATAACTTTTTTCAACAATTTCCAGTCCTTAAAACTTAAATGTTTTGCATTTATGTTTAATATCTATTTTGAGGGGAGCTCTGGTAGCACAGTGCCTAAGGCACTTGACTGCTAACCAAGAGGCTGGCGGTTCAAACCCACCAGCCACTCCTTGGAAGGAAGGTTGGGCAATCTACTTCCGTAGTGATACTGCCTCAGAAACCCAAGGAGGGGTCACTGTGAGTCAGGTCCGACTCGACGGCACATAACAACAACAACATCTATTTTGAGAACAGCTGTCATTAGCATCTAACAAAAGATGTGCAAGATCTTTATGTAGAAAGTGAAAATTTTACTGAAAGACATTAAAGAAAATCTAAATTAACGGAGACAGATTCCATGTTTAGAGATAAGAAGCCCTGATTTAAAAAATTTAACTACCATATAACCTAGCAAGTCCACTCCAGGGATCTAATAGAAGTGATATGAATAGACATATGCACACCTATGCTTATTGCAGCACTATTTAAATAGCAAAACCATGGAAGCAACTTTAGAGTCCATCAGTGGATGACTGGATAAGCAAACTGTGGTATATAAAAAAATGGAATACCACTAGCCATAAAGGAAAATGAATTCCTGAAATGTCTTACAATGTAAATGAGCCTGGAGGTTAGCAAAATAAGTCAAGGACAAAAGTCATACATGGTGTGTTCTGAATTTCATGAAATGACAAGGATAGGTAAATATACAGAGACCAATATTCATTGGTGGTTACCAGGGGTGGGGTTGAGGGTGGCGCAGAGGGAAGCACTCCCCAGATGGTACTTTTTTTTTTTTTGGTGATGGGAAAGGTGGCACCATATGTGGGTGAAGTTTGCACAGCTCAACTAATCTACTTTTTGTTAATAAGCTATACACAAAACAAAGGATGAACTGGCAAATACTATATTATATATAAGGAGCTCTGGTGGTATAGTGGTTAAGGCATTTAGCTGCTAACCAAAAGTATGGTAGTTCAAACCCACCAGCCGCTCCATGGAAGAAAGATGATAGTCCACTATTGTGAAAAGCCAAGGAAGGGTTTACACATGGAAGGAAACTTTATTTGCTGGTTACAAGGGGTGGGATAGGTAAGAGACAGGTATTGATTTGAGTGAAAGGAGAGGCAATATACCAAAAGCCAGTGACCAACACAATAACTAATGAAAAAGAAGACACAGAGAGGTGCACAAGAGGCACAGACAATTAAGATAAACACTTTCACATGCATGATAGTATATTATCAGTGATAACAAACATTAACCTATGTGTAGATACTTAGGCAGACAGGCTAAATGATCAGGTTGGTCTAGGCAAAAGGGAATATACCAATGGTTAGCAGTCAAATGTACTGTGCCACCAGAGCTCCTTGTTTATATATAAGTTTGGCAGACGATATTTCTACATATATATTTATATGTGCTATAAGAATGTCAATAGACATGAATAGACATTTCACCAAGGAGGATATTCAGGCGGCCAACAAACATACGAAGAAATGCTCACGATCATTAGCTATTGTTGTTGTTACGTGCCGTCAAGTTGGACCCGACTCATAGCGACCCCTCCTTGGGTTTCCAAGGCAGTATCACTACGGAAGTAGATTACCCCATCTTCCTTCTGAGGAGTGGCTGATGGGTTTGAACCGCCAGCCTTCTGGTTAGCAGTCAAGTGCCGTAGGCACTACACTACCAGAGCTCCCCATTAGCTATTAGAGAGATGCAAATCAAAACAACAATGAGATACCATCTTGCTCCAGCACTAGTAGCAAAGTTCAGCAAGACAGAAAATAACAAATGCTGGTGAGGATGTGGAGAATTTGGGACTCTCATACACTGCTGGTGGGACTGTAAAATGGTACAACCACTGTGGAAAGCAGTAGGGTGATTCCTTAAAAAGTTGGAATTAGAAATGCCATTTGACCCAGCCATTCCATTACTAGGTATATATCCTAAAGAAGTGAGCCATGACAAGAACAGACATATGCACACCCATGTTCATCGCAGCACTATTTACAACAGCCAAAAGATGGAAACAACCTAGGTGTCCATCAATTGAAGAATGGATAACCAAATTATGGTACATACACACAATGGAATACTATGCAGCCCTAAAGAATAACCTAGAATCTGCAAAACACTGCATAATGTGGATGAACTTGGAGGACATTATGCTGAGTGAAATAAGTCAATCACAGAAGGACAAATATTGTATTAGTCCATTATTGTAAAAG